CTAACATGAAATCATATACCGACAGCAGCACTGTAGTAATATAATTCAGGAAATGGCTTTGATTTTAAGAAGCCGTTTACTGCTTCTTATAGTGCACATTTTGAAAGGGACACAGTTAAGGCTAGTAGATCTAAAAGTAAACCTATCAATTTTGGTTGTTTGCAGAGGAGCATATACATGTTGTGCTATGCATTCACCCTTCTTGTTCTGTTGTGAGCAAGTACAATAATAACAATTATTGTACAGCCTCTTCCCCACTTACGAACCAGTTACAGGCCAAGCAATTGGTTGTAATTTGGTTAGTTCATAAGTCGGACCTCATAGAGTTACACGCGACTGCGATGTTTGTAAGCCCAGATTGCGTTCGTAAGTCGGGGTCTGCCATTTACGACAGCTTTGGTCGTAACTACGAACAGTCGTAAGTCGACCGTTTGCAACTCGGGGCCGGGCTGTAATCCTCTCCTTGGAACAACAGTATGTCACATTCCAGGGTGAGGCCAGACCACTGAGGGGCTGTGTCACCACTTTCCTTGTAACATTGGGTGACCCACAATACTATACTGTTGTAGCTCCCAACCTTGGCTTCTCCCAAATTGGCGAACAGCAGGTATGTCATACTCTTAGGCAATGTCTGTACTGGCTGATGTAAAGTGCTGACAGTTACAGTGCTGCTCACAGAGTGCTGCAGGAAATCCTGTTGTGTGTCCACTCTGTGCTCCTTGTGATGGTGGAGCAGGTCCACATTAGCAGCTCTTGCAATGCCACAGAGAGCAGTGCACTGTTGTAGCTATCCCACTGTGCAACTGGCTGCAGGATGTTTTGGAAAGGGTTTGCAATGCTTCATGGGGCAGTCACTGTCACATGATGCAAGTTTCCCAATCTCATTGCACTATGTTCATTCTGCTACATTGACAGCTAATTTTCAACAGAAATCTAGGGGAAGAGGGGAGAGTTGGAGGGGGAGGGGAGAGAGACAGTGTGTTTTGGGGTATGTCAGCATGCTGTCTTGTAAGTTCAAACAGTAGCAGGAAACAGCTCATACTGAGACTGAGGGAAGGGGAAATCCTGACATCTCAGGACCCTCTTCCCTGCCTTTCTCCTCAGCTCTTTGCACAGCAATCGCTCTCTCTCTCTCTCTCTCCCTCTCTCTCTCTCTCTCTCTCATACACACACATGTCTGCCACTGTGTTCAACAGCAGGAGCATTTCACATAAATGGTTTGCTCTGTGCCCAGCAAATGAGCACAGATGCAGGCTGTCTGAAACAAAGCTCTGAGAGGGGATATGCACATTCATCTAAGGCAAACAGCTGAGTTTAAAAACAAGTAACAGAAAGGACTTGATGGATTATGGGCCACTTCTGGAGGCTAATCAGAATGAAACAAATAATTCAAGGCTTTGTCTACACTGCATGGACACTTTTGCACAAGAGAGCTCTGATTGCTGTTCACAGAATGGCCATCAGGGCACTGTGCTTTTTCCGATAGGGGTTTCCTGCACAAAAATCCCTTCGGAGCATCCACACCTGCCTTTTTGCACAAGAGCTGTACTGCAAAAAGGAGTTATTGCTCATGGGAAGAGGAATAAGTCTACCAGCAAAAGCCCTCTGTCGATTTTGTTGCACAAATACATGCTTGAGGTGTGGGCGCTCCACTGGTTTTTGTGCAAAAAACCTTGTAGGGTAGACATAGTGCTTTACCAATGTGGACACCTCAGGAGTTACAATGTTGGGAGCTAATTTCCTGTGCTGTAACTTGCCAATATAGACTTGGCCTGAGTGCCTATGTAGCCCTGCAGCTCTGCCTCCCAGCCACCGTGTCAGCAGCACACCAGTCATACTCTGACTTCCACCAGCCTTGGTAACTATGGGGAAGGTGCCCTAACATGCTCCCAGTCCTGAATTTTCCCAAAATATCTGTTCTGCACCATTCTGGACAGTTCAGATATTAAGGCTTGTTACTCCTTAATACTGTTCGGTCAGTATGCAACAGTCTGCTACTTTATATGGCGTTACCAGGTGGCTCAGTTAAATTGCAGCACTGGGTTGGTTTAGATTAATAAATAAAACAAATTCATTAGCAAAAGAAGATAGGATTTTAAGTGAATTCAAGTATAGGAGATACAGTTAGAAATGGCTACAAACAAAAGTGGAAAGACACTTCTAAAAGTCTAAAACTCAATTTAGCAAGTGTTGGTTCAAGGCCTTTCTCACCTACAGTCTTCCAGGAAGACGGTGACTAACTTTTTCCTTGGTTAAGATAAGACGCTTGTGCCTTTCAGTGTTCCCTGGGATTTTTCCCACACATGAGAGGAATTAATTTTGTTAGGTGCACCAATATGGGAGTGTTATACAACACATCGCCTCCATATTAGTGCATATAACAAAATTCATGTGGTGGGAATGGGGCTGAAGGGTTCAGAGTGTGGGAGTGAGCTCCGGGCTGGGTCAGAGAGTTGTTGTGTGGGAGGTAGGGTTACCAGATGGTTTTAAAAAAATACCAGACACACTTGATCTCAGATTGGGCGGGGTGGAGGGGGGGGGAAGTGGAGCTGGCTGGGGGAGATCGGGTGGGGGAGAACCAGCCAGCGGGAAGCAAGGGTGGCTGGGAGGGGATCAGGGAGAGTGGGGCTGGCTGGAGGAGATTGGGGGAGGGGGAACTGGCCGGCAGGAAGCGGGGCTGGTTGAGGGGGGGGGGGCTGGCCCGGGGGGACCCACCCGGAGGGAGCA